GCAGGTGTCCTATGGTGAGCTCAGTCAGGACAGAAACCTGGCGTAGAGTAAAAGGGCAAAAGCTTACTTGATTTTGATTTTCAGTACGAATACAGACCGTGAAAGCGTGGCCTATCGATCCTTTTGATTATTATTTTCAGAGTTTGAAGCAAGAGGTGTCAGAAAAGTTACCACAGGGATAACTGGCTTGTGGCGGCCAAGCGTTCATAGCGACGTCGCTTTTTGATCCTTCGATGTCGGCTCTTCCTATCATTGTGAAGCAGAATTCACCAAGCGTTGGATTGTTCACCCACCAATAGGGAACGTGAGCTGGGTTTAGACCGTCGTGAGACAGGTTAGTTTTACCCTACTAATGAGTACAGTAATCAGTGAAGTACAATCTGGCCGTTGCTATGGTAATCCTGTTTAGTACGAGAGGAACCGCAGGTTCAGACAATTGGTATATGTGCCTGGTCGAAAGGCCAATGGTGCGAAGCTACCATCTGAGGGATTAAGACTGAACGCCTCTAAGTCTGAATCCCGTCCATATTTGCAACGGTACATTCCGTATCCGACACGTGGCTGGGCAAGCTTACGTATTCCTTTTGGTGTCTGGACTGGACCATGTGTTCGGCTAGGCCCATTAGGTCTGGTGTTACGCCAGAGCGATGACCATAAACTATGCTCCGGATTTCGGGGTGTAGGGGTCGACACGATATCTAATTGTGGTATGAGCGTGAGGATACTAAATCGTTTGTAGACGACTTAATGTTTTGTCGGGGAGACGTAAGTGCTCGAGCAGCTATCACACTGCGAGGCATTGAGTCCTATCCCTGCTTGACGTAATGATTTGAGGGCTTGACCCTCATTCATTTCCCTAATTACTGGACTACGGTCTGGTATATACATAAGCATTTATGCCTATATGCATTATTGTGGTTCATATGATGCGTATATATGTGTGTATATATGTTGTTCATATACAACCTTATATATATGTGAACATGTGTTATATATTCTTATATACATATGTTTGTGTATATACATGTGTTATATGTGGACATGTATGTATATGCGTATGTACGCGTTTGTGTACCTAAAGTTTTGCATGTACAGCATACATGTAGAATAAATACATGAGTGCATAGATATCTATGTGTGCATAGGTAGTTCGTGAGATATGTATACATGTGTGTATATGTATTATTCATGTACATCCTTATATATATATGAGCATGTGTTATATATTTTTATATGCATGTGCTTGTGTATATACATGCGATATATATGAATATATGTGTATATACGTGTGTGCATACTTACGTTCTTGCATGTGTATATGTAGAATTTGTGTGCTTATATAAAACACACCTATACAAGTGTGTATATGCCTATGCATATGTATGAGCTTGTGCATTTGTGTATATGTATGCTATGCTATGGTATAGTCATATATGTATATATGTGTATTGGTCACATGTATGTATATTCATGTGCATATATGTGCATTTGCGTAATTGCGCTTATATACATATATGTACATGAGTATGCATATATGTTGGCTAGTGCATATATATATATATATGTGTATGCTACGCCTAGGAATAGTTATGCGTATGCACCTGTGTACTGTTCATATATATTACAGATATACGCGTACATATATGTATGCGTTTTATGCCCAAAAAGTAGTATTCTAACGCTCGGGTGGCACAAAAATGGTAACGCTAGTAACTATGACCACCTTACTCCCGCCGTTTACCCGCCATTGACCGAATTTTACGAAAGTCAAAATACCACGAAACGAAGAGAGCTAGCTATCTGGTTATAAATTATAAATGATACATTTCAATGAGATCTATCAAATAAAAAAACCGCATCGAAAAATATTGCTCCGTTCAAAAGTTATGAAGGAAAGACTGAATTTCCCATAGGCTCCTATAGGAATTCTATAGGATTGCTGTGGCGGCTATGTCCAAATTTTACAAAAGTCAAAATATCCACGAAACGAAGAGAGCTAGCTATCTGGTTATAGATTATCAATTGTAGATATCAATGAGCTCTATCAAACAAAAAAAACTGCATTGAAAAATATTCAGCCGTTGAAAAGAATTGGCAACAAACCGACTAAGAGTTGATTGATTGCTCAACAAATAGGGCGGAGGAAAATGGAGATGAATCAATCGCACGCATATACTGAGTAGACCGTCGAATGACATCGCCCACCAGGTCATATCTTTCTCTATTAGAACCCGAATTGTAAGCGATGACGAGTGGGTCGTTTGGCGAGGAGGAGGAGGAGGAGATTACAGACTATGTAGGGGTGGGGGGCAATCGTGAGTCCAGCTAAAGAGAGGACACAACAGACAATAGGACAAAGTAGAGTTAAACTGTCTGGACCAGATGGAATACCCCTCGTGAATCACTGAAAGCGGACCCAGAGACGACAGCAGACATGCTGACTCACTCCATTATTGCAAAAGGTCTAGAAGGAGGGAAAGGTGCCTACTGACTGGAGGAAAGGTTACCTCGTGAAACTACCACAGAAGGGCGAATTACGCCTCACTCTGCAAGAACTGGCGATGAATCATGCTCCTGTCGAAATTAAGTAAAATCCTGAGTCGCATCATCCTGGAGAGATTAAAGGACGCACTGGAGACAGAACTCCGCCACACCAGAACAAGCTGGATTCAGGAAAGTCAGGCAAATCATGTACTGACCAAATTGCAACTCTACGCATCATCATCACGGAACAAAGCATGGAATGGCAGTAACTATGACCACCTTACTCCCGCCGTTTACCCGCCATTGACCGAATTTCACAAAAGTCAAAATACCCACGAAACGAAGAGAGCTGGCTGTCTGGTTATAAATTATAAATGATAGATATCAATGAGATCTATCAAATAAAAAAATCCGCATTGAAAAATATTCAGCCGTTCAAAAGTTATGAAGGAAAGACTGAATTTCCCATAGGCTTCTATAGGAATGTTATAGCCGTTTTGCGACTAAGTCCAAAAGCAAGAGCAGGAGTAACTACGACTCCCCATATGCATGTAAAACGCACTAAGCCTATATAGCCACTGGGTACCAAAATCCAAGCGCAGGAGTAACTATGACCAAATTTCACAAAAGTCAAAATACCCACGAAACGAAGAGAGATGGAGACAAAATGAATAGGATATAAATGAAAGATATTAATAAGATCTATCAAACAAAAAAACTGCATTGAAAAATATTCAGCCGTTGAAAAGAATTGGCAACAAACCGACTAAGAGTTGATTGATTGCTCAACAAATAGGGCGGAGGAAAATGGAGATGAATCAATCGCACGCATATACTGAGTAGACCGTCGAATGACATCGCCCACCAGGTCATATCTTTCTCTATTAGAACCCGAATTGTAAGCGATGACGAGTGGGTCGTTTGGCGAGGAGGAGGAGATTACAGACTATGTAGGGTAGGGGTGGGGGGGCAATCGTGAGTCCAGCTAAAGAGAGGACACAACATGGTTATAAATTATCAATTGTAGATATCAATGAGCTCTATCAAACGAACAAAGCATGGAATGGCAATCAAACCTCTACGTCAACTTTATAGACTTTGAGAAGGCCTTCGACAGACAGCGTTGATCGTGAAGTAATTTGCAAATTACTCGAGTACTACGGCGTGCAGCGCCCAAATATTCATCAACCTTATTCAACAGCTGTACGACAACGGCACATGTCACATGATCCACAACGGAAAACTCAGTGAGGCGTTTGAGGTAAACACAAGAGTCAGACAAGGGTGCTGGCTTATTATCACCAATGATATTCCTAATTGTGGTGGACTGACCGGATTATGCGTCAGACAATGAGTGGAAAACGAGAAGACAGGAATACCCTGGACCAACCGACGCGATGAACCTAGAAGACCCGGATTTCGCGTGTGGATGATTTATGTTTGATGTCACTGTCACAAAATCGAAGACTTACAAGCGAAAACCGACAAACTGGTCGAAGAAGCACCCGGCGAAGACAGGACTCCAGGTGAACATAGACAAGACGGAGGTTATGAAAATAACCAGCCAAACAACAAAAATAGCAGCAACATCCAGCACCAATCAATCACCACCAACGGGAGGGATTTGAAAGAGGTTACTTCATTCACTTCACTTATCTAGCATTGAGCATTGTTTCAACTACAGGAAGTCGGAACGGACGAGGATGTCAAATCGGGCGAGAAAGACATTCATCAACCTGAAACCAATCTGGAAATCTTCGTCACTCAGCCAGCATCAACAACAAAATTCAGTCGGATTTTCAATACAAACTTCAAGTCAGTCAGTTCTTCTTTACGGATCAGAAACTTGGCGGGCGGGTCACAAAGAATATTTCCAACAGCCTGTTGCAGACCTTCATCAACAACTAACTGTCTTCCCTCTATACTGAAGATCAGATGGCCTAGTTGGAAAGAATCACCAACAAGAAACTATGGGAACAAACAAACAAAACAAGAACCAATCGCCAATCAACAAATATGCAGGAGAAAGTGGAGATGGATCGGACGCTCACTGAGGAGACCGCTGGGTGACATCGCGCGCGCGTCAGGCCATTTTTCGAGTGGAACCAGGCCAAAAGGGGAGCGGCGTGTGGGACGTCCAAGGGTGGGTGACATGGAGGAGATCGTGTGAAGAGGAGTTGGTTGAAACAGTATGAACTAACATGGATGGATGTAGGTGAAAAGTACAGCAGAAGGGAGACAGAGGCAAGTGGAGACATGCAGTAGAAGCCCTATGTTTCACTAGGAACCCAAGGGAATAATAATAATGATTAAAACATGACATGAATCCATGAGGATATTTTTCACAACATTTACGTATATCTTGAAATTAGATCGCTTATACAGTCGTTATAAAAACAGTACAACATACAAGCCATAGTTTGTTTTATTCTCAAAACACCTTTTTAACAGAACAGTTTAAATTTCAATTACTTTCGCTTGTGTTTTTTTTCTCTCTCTCTCTCCCTGCTATATAGGTTGAAAGTTCAATGTTCTGTGATATAATACCGTTAGCTGATGAAAATGGTATAATACCTTTGGAGAAAGTTTAAATAATAATAATAATGACATATTGCTGTGTCTATCTATCCTGACCACCAATAACAACAACAACAATTATAACTACTGCTGAGAAAAATATTTTAGAAAGTTCTCTTTATATTTTTTATGTGCTCACTCACTCACTGACTTCCTCACTCGTTGGCACATTTTTGCCTTATTCTTTCTGGTTTTTCTTTGCTTTTTTCCACGGTTTTTAACCTCATTTTACCATTAACGGTTTTCTCTCTCTCTCCGTCTCTGTCCTTCTGGAGTTTTTAACTTGAAAGTAAACTTAACCTAAGAGCTTTCATTATACATACATAAATGAATACTTGTCTTGATTTTCCTTGAAAGATACAAGTATAATTTGTTTGTCTGTTTTTTTTAGTGTTTGCTTTTGTTCATTTTGCATTGAAGTTGATCAGCCATCTGTTGATCTCCGCCTTTTAATTTGTAAGTAAATATGATTTATAAAAATACACGAATGGCAACACAATATTCTCTTTACTTGTGGAATTTGAGCTGGGTTTTTTTTCTTGATGTAGTTATGTTCTCTGAGCTAGCTGGTGGAGGGTTTATTTGCGAAGCTTTTGTAGCGGTAAATAATTCCCCAAAACTATTGACCACAGCAGTTTATCACTGCTGGACATTGGAGATGGTGACCATTACTGTTTAAGTCGACTTGTCTAGCTGAAGGCTTTCGGTCAAGCATCCATCCATGCGCCATTTAGTACTCCGTCGGGTCACGTTCTTGCACGATCACGAGCCAGTTAAGCAATCAGCATGCAATCCGTTTTGGTCCCGAAATATATCTCGTAATTTGGATAACCAGTTCAGTTGTTTTGCTTTGTTTTGCCTTTGGTTCACGAGAAACGAATACTATAGAAGTTGTTGGTATAAGATCCTGCGTTAGTATACTCCGTACAATTTACGAACGTGAATACCGTCAGCCTCTAAACTGGTGAGCCCGACGTGATGCAAGGGTGAGCATATGGTCGGACTCATTCCTAGAGATTTTCAGTTTGTTAGGAGCAAGTTGTCGTGCTTTAGATGTCACGGGCTGTCCTGAGGTTATGATGTGGTGCATAACATTGCTGGTTATGCACGGTAGATCGATAGAGGGGCAATTAAGTTCCGAATATTTGTCAACAATCGGTTGGAAAGTTGGATCAAGGATTGCTTTCATTTTAACGAGTGACACAAGCTGGGGCCTATGTAGGTGATGCCTTTAATAGGCAGACTAGTAGTAATGTCAATCAGTCGTTTTCGGCGGACGTCTAAGAGCAAATCGTGATGATTAAGTAGGTCCGTGCCAATGATAGGCATTGTGACGTCAGCGAGAAGAAAAATCCACTGAATAGGTTTGCGTAAACCTACGTTCAGATAGACGTATTTCCTACCAAAAGTTGCAATTGGTTTTCCATTCGCAGCCTGTAGGTTGAAGGAAGGTTCCTTCTGTCGATCTGCCGCTGTAGCAGGAAAGACGCTGACTTCGGCGCCTGTGTCGACTAAATATCGGGTCTGGCTGACCACATCATAAATGTAAAGTAGGCGGCTAGTGCCACCGGCAATGGGTTGCCGCTAACGCGTGTCTGCGGCATAGTTTCCCACAGACTTTGAGACATTGCTGAAACTTTCATTATCGCTCGACTAAGCAGCATCTTCAGGGCATACACTCCAATTCTAATTGAAGTGGGCTTTTAGATTTCTCCACGAGTTTATTGGTCATCTCTCCTTATGACATTGAAAGTCGTGGTTGATTGTTTTTGTGTTTTCACATCCTGTAGGCAACTTTTATTGATATTGGTGTTGATTGTTTACTTGATCTGAAGTTTGACACCTTGTGTGTGTGTGTGATTTCCTTCTTATCGATTTGTAAATTTTGTCTATCTCGATGTGTCTATTGATTGATGATTATTCACTGGAATATCAGGCTAGCTTCTAAAAGCTCTCGAGCATTCTTCTGTCTAATATCTGTAAAGTTTACCAGTCGAATTGATATCCTTGGTTGTTTGTATGAAAACACAGAAACAGCCAATCACCAGGTTGAAGGTCACCGGGAGAGATGACTAACAAACTCATGGAGAAATCTAAAAACTCACTTCAATTCAAATTGAACTATGCGCTGAAGATGTTGCCTAGTAGGGGGCAATGAAAGCTTCGCAAATAAACCATCCAGCCACCTGAGAGAACACAACTACATCAAAATCATCCGCCTGAGCTACAAATCTCCACCATATCTAAATTTGAGGTGTGCATTTCGGTCTTATTGAGATTCGTCAGCTACGATGGTATACGCGTTCCCCGTGTCTGTAAGTATGGCATGTACTTTGCGCCGTCTAAGTGCAAAGTACTGTTACAAGATTGGCAGGAGCCTGTACCTGCACTCACTCTTGCAGGTGAACCGCTTGAAGTTGTCGATAAGTTTGTGTATCTGGATAGTTCTGTGAATGCTGGCGGAGGGGTGACAGATGAGATTTCCAACAGTATAATGAAGGCTAGGGTGGCATACATCAACTTGAACCACCTCTGGCGCCGTCGTGACGTTAGCCTGGTTGTCAAAGGTCGGGCATACAATGCTTCGGTGCGGGCTGCCCTACTCTACGCCTGTGAAACCTGGCCTCTCCGAGTGGGCTGAGGATGTGTGGCGACTCTGCGTGTTCGATCACCGCTGTCTCCGCAGGATAGCTTGCGTCCGATGACATCATCGCGTGAGTAATTCTGAGGTTCGGCGGCGTGTGTTTGAATACAGTGGAGATCACCATTCATTGAGTGTTGTCATCTGGAAACACCGGCTCCGGTGGCTTGGACATGTGCCGCGAATGTCACCCCAGAGGCTTCCGTACAGGTCTCTGTTCACTAGCCAGCTCTGGGATGGGATAGAAAAGGCTGAGAGGTGGTCAGTCCATGACGTGGCGTCGTGGGATGAAGGGTGTTTGTGCCAGATTAGCATCAGTTGGTGCGTCGCGACTCCCTGGTTGGGGTCCGCGAGATAGTTCGAATCGATGGCTTGAAACGTTATCAGATATGGTCAATAATCGTAATCAATGGCGAATGTGTTGCAATTTCCTTATTTCTTTCCTTCCCGATGATAGTTAACGAATACTGTTTGAACTTGTTAAGCATGACTGTTTTCCTTCCGGATGAAGTTCTTTATCCGTTCTCTACTTATATCTTTTTTTACTTTTGATCTATGTTGTTTTATTATCATTGTATGGCGCATCTTTCTTTGTGCCATATTGTACCAAGTTTTTTTCTGCGTTTAAATAAATAAATAAATATTCCCAGTGACTGAGTGGTGGTCCTATTGACATGAGGGGCTCAAACTCGCTTCTATAACAATAATAACAATACTAATACTAGTAATAATAATTTGTATTTCGTATAAACGAGTAAGTTTACAAAAAATGCATGCCACTTTTACAGGCACGATCAGTTACGTTATAAATTACAACTGTGAAATATCTATCATAGATTAGCACCTTTTCAAAAGTTAAAATTCTTCGACTACAGTACAAGCAATCAGAACATGTCTGTATAAATGTTGAAATGTAGAGCCTTCACTAAGGTCAGCATAGATGTCGAACGAAAACCCAAACTTCGTTTCGTTTCCTGCCGATAATTATGCTCGATCAGTGAACAGTGTATATTTCGGTAAGTGTTATGCCCTCACAAGTGATTAAAAGCTATTCCAGGAAGAGAAGAACGTCCTCTGAAACTCCGAATTGATAAAAAATACAATTATAGATAATACATCATTGAAAATGCATTTACAAGATAATATACGACAAGGAGTCCATTATGGATGAAAATTTTATTCTAATAAAATCACAGTGTTAGACAGTAATGTTTCCTGATGACGTCTCGAGCAAAAATTATTGCTCATTAATCCTAAACAGGCAGGTAATGACACACAATTAAGGAGTGTGTTCTTGTTGTCTCTTGTAGCAGCGCCTCAATAGTAAGGCAATAAACCTGCGTGACTTCGACACTCGTTCCGAAATATACTCTCAATATGATAAACTATGTGGATATTTCAGTTCCAGGTCTAATTCAGATTTAGTTCATCGCAGTTTATGGCCGTGTATTACTAGATCAAATTCTCGGTTGGAACAAATTATACAGAGACAGTGGTTGTACGGAGATATGTTTTTTTTGCATTTACATGCTATTGATTTAGGCCTAATACACTCCCTTAGGTGACACCACTGTTCGAACTTTTCTACGCCTGAAGGCTGTCGAGTCGACTTTTGTTCTCGGATTTCTACCACAGAGAAATGATTTTACCCAGTTCTTGAGAGAGTTGCGTATCCCTAGTCAGCATAACCTGCTGACTAGCAGACTATGTGGAACACTGTCGAAAGCTTTCCCATTTCGCTTTGCATCGTATACATTCACAAGAAACTAAGGCCTACTTAGTAACTGTCACTCTTCGGAAAAAACTCCATGGAAGATGTTACTGATATCAGCCGTGAAGCGAAATGGGCTACGAGATGGTCGATTGTCCCAAAAGGTGGGGAGTTGCAGTGTAACAACCATCTACACAGAAGAGTCGTTTTCAGCCATGGATAGGCGAATTACATGATATGAAATAATAAAAATATGTCACCAGTATGTGAAATAGCACAAAACTTCAAATAAAAATAAACTATGGAGAAATTTGGCTCAAGATGCCGCAAATAATGAGTTTCGGGCTCACCAACTGTAAGGTACTTCGTGGTAGTGCCGCTGATAAGTTACGCTTCACCAGTCCTTGCTTAATGCAATTTACCTATGCACCCAATAATTCAGTAGTCTACCCAATCTGTAAGTACTGACGACAAAAAGCAAATTAAAAAGATTCGGTCATTAGGGAAAAAGTGCTCAAGTGCACCGTATATTTGAGTAAAACTAAAGTTAAAGATTATCCAAGAAAAAATGTCAAGTACTGTTATGTACTCGTCGCTAAATTATTGCTATGTACTGGTCGAGAAACTAATAGTCCTGACGCAAGAAATTCAGAATAAAGCAC